AATATATAATAGATACAGTGTATATAATTTTTTCTTGAATATAACGTTTTAAAGCATGGAATGTGTCTGCCATTGATTAATTTTGCAGTATGTAATTATTTTCGTATATGAATAAGGAACAAAGATTAATTATTACACCAGTTGAAACGAAACCGCTGTAGATTTTCCTCCAGGAAAATGATACGTATATCGATATTATGATCTTCATTTCTCATTATAATGAATGTCAAGTGGACTTAACTAGGATTTTGACCGTTTTCTGAAACATTTCATATCTTGATGTAGAGGGTTAATAGAGTAAAATATTGAGACGGCCTGCCGTCTGTAGAAATCATCGCGACAGGAAGCTACGTGTTCACAGTTCAGCGGTGAAACCAGCTTCTTTAAAGACACGGATACATGTAGTAAAGAAGAGAATTAAGATTTTTTTTTCAACAACTCGTGTATTATAACAATCATTTAGCTTACGGGATCGGATAAGTATTTTTTTTTCAAAATCAATTATTTTTAGTTTTGTGAAGTGGAAATTTCTTCTCTAAATTTCTGCATACCTCGTTTTCTATTGTTTTATAGATCGTGCTTTTCACGATGAATTTTTTGGAAGTTTAAAAGACCTTCGTGTCTTTATGGTGAGTATTGCTAAGGATTATTTTTGATAATTACTGATAATATTCGTGATATAAACCTGATAACAATTAGTAAGTAATAAAAAGTTTTCACTCCTGATATGAGTTATATCAAGGATTTTTTTCGAAAAGTACATGTACATTTTAGGTAACTACTAGTCAGTGTGCATCTTTCTGGGTTATTAAACTGCACTTATACTGACCTTTTTGTACTTAAATAGTAGCTTTTTAGATATTCCCATGAAGCAGAGTAAACTTATTCTAAAATTTTTACATGTAAAGAAGAAAACAATTGCTGTGGACTTTATCTCGACAACGTTTACTCAATTAGCAATAGATACTTCCATTCATTAATCGATTCGATATATCTCCGTGAATTTGAAATAAAAGACACCAACACCACAAAGTCTGTCAGATTTGTTTCATATCTAAATGTTAAATTGACCTTAGACGATAAAAGGGCCAAATAACCACTTAACTGTTTAACAAAGATGATTTCAGCTTTTCCGTCGTCATAATTCCTTATTTATGTAGTAATATTCCACTATCACCCTAACATGATATTAATGTCGCCCAAAGTATTCGATACTTAAGAGCTTGCTCTGAGTACGATCAATTTTCAGACTTAGGCAGGCTACTGACAAGTAAGTTAATGTTACAGGGATTTCAACGACCTCAATCAAAGTCACAATTTCGCAAATTCTATGGTTGTTTTAATGATCTTGGTAGCAAACAGCCTATCATCGTGACTTGTTTTGACTGATATTTTGACTTAGTCCACAGGGGATGCTTACTCCTCTTAGACTACTACCCCACCTCTGGAATTAATTGGGAGTCTCTGTTTTATGCCATGCTCACAGATTTGTATCGTTTGTAGATTTTTTGAGACTGATCACTATTCTTTATCTTCCCCTCTTTCATTAGGCTACTCACTTTCATATCTCTCATACTCGTATTTTACCACATGTTAGCATGCCAATAAATAAAATCTTATCCTAGCAAAATAGTTTAAATAATATTCATGATTTAAAAATGTTGCAAATTAATGCGCGATAATTATTGTGTGACCTTCCTGCACTAATGAAATATCATATTTTATATTTTAAAAAAAAATCTAAACAGACATTGAAATACTTTCTTGCATCAACCTTTTTTTTAAACGTAGTGCTGATAGGTTGAAAACATCTTGCAATTTAAGGGGAAAAAACTAGCCCAGTGATGTATTTTTTGAGATATGACTCAGAATATATGATTTCAGATGAAAAACAAGGCAAATTTTACAGGGATCGACATTAACGGTTGTCCGATTGCCCGGGGCAAGTAAATCCTCAAGTGAGACTGCTGATGTACTTGTCCGATCGAGCAAGTGAATATTTCTTATAGATTTTTTTTTTATCTTACATTATTTTATTAACAAAACAATGCATTGAACACTTGATTTATACGTGGAATATGACATTGTTTTTGCATTCGGAAATCCTTCAGTAGCGCCGTTTATTCAAAAATCGGGTTTATTATTCCGTTTTTCTTTCGTGGTAGTGACAAAACATAAATAAAATAATTCATTTATTTACTCACAGAATATAAAGAACATAAGTTATTCTCGGCGCACGATGTATTCTAATCAGGATAGTTACGTATGTTTCGAAACATGGCAACTGGTTTTCTTTTGCATGGCTTCAGTTTTTCAGGGGAAAAACCAAAATTCACATAAAGATCGTACAGAAAATAATTTTCAAAAATATGAATTTTATTTTAAAGGAAATACTGATGCATGGCAGTGTGAGTTTACAAGTACATGAATTTAAGGTAGTCCGATCCTCAGGTTCTGAAAATCAGCTTTTAAGTAATGGAAAATGCTTACAAAAATGTCTCTGATTTCACAAAGAACGTGAATTTACCTATGGAAAATCTTCAAAGTTCATAATTATAGTTCATCATATTAAAGAGGGAAAATTATCAAATCCCAAATATATTTTCAGGAAATGCGAATAAGAACACCAACTATGCATTTTCTAATTGAAAATTGATCAACAAATGTAATTTAGGATAGAAAAATCCATAGGTATCCAGGCATTTGGAGAAAATTGCATCTTTTTATGCTTATACAGTATTTTAGTTCTTTTTTACTTCAATTGTCATATAATGCATAGTGTAAAAAGCTTGTGCTATCATTGCTAGAGATCACATATCACATCTAATTCATATCATGCTAATTAGCAATGGTATCTAATGCTAGTCTAGAGGAAATTCGATTTCTCTAAAAATGAATTAATCTTTTTCTTTTTTGCTACAAATGTTAACTTTTTACAAGACCGATTCAAGGACTTCAAAGAACCTTGAATCATATCAAAATGCATAAAATGAAAATTGTTGCACAAAAAGATCTCCATTTCAAGCTTCATTTTGAGACTCTTTAAATAAAATAATAAATTTAAGAGTTATCCTTCCTGGCTGATGATAGGATATCCTTAAAATATAGCATCACCGTTACATCAAGATTTTTTTTCTGGCACTTCTAACTTGCCAAATATAAAACAACACCTCACTTTATATACAATAATAAATTAGTTACCGGTTTCCCTTCTTTCTAAATTTTGAACAACCAAGTTTTGCATTCGGACAGGTAATGTCTTTCCCTGTTTTATCTTGATTTGTTCAATTTATCTTCACTTTTTCACAAAGAATGTTGAATACAACTTGAGACTGAATTTAATATTCCTAGCGTATCATAACCCCCCCCCCCCCAAATGAAAAAAAAGATGAGCTACCTTCAAGTCAGCCTTGTGTTTGTCACGTCCATTTCAAACTTTCTTGCTGCATGATGATTACACTCACTACATTTGTGTCGCTTATCGGATTTGAGAAGGAACCTGTTCATTTTCCATATTATCCACTTTTTTGAGGATAATAAGTCGTATTGCGATCCTTCCAAAGGAAGGAGCTTCCTTATTGATCTCCTATGTTCAATCTGCTACGAATACGTTCGTGAAAAGCACTTAAGATTTGTCTAAGAGATTTTTAAATTAAAATCTTACACAAAAACATCAGATTTGTTTTTAGAAAAGTCCTACAGGACTTGTTTTTATTTAAGGATGGGTGCATTTTGTTTTTGAATCTAGAAACAAATTCTGCCATCTGCCATCATTTACCAGGTTGGATTAATTTATCAATGAGATGAGAAGTTAAACTGGTTTTGTACCAGTGTACATTTATTAATTTTCTGGCTTTTAATGTACAACTTCATTTCGGATTTCCCTGAATTTCTCTCCAACTTCTTGGTTTTTGGTCAATGTAAAAGATACCTATCCAGTATTTAACATGTTTCAACAGGCGTTATTATGACTTGATTCGATTTATCTATATTTGTTGATATTTTGTATTAATTTTCACTGAGAGTATAGAAAATATACACAGGACTAAACTCAAGGAAATATTTCTTTTCAGACTCAAAAATTTCTTAGCTGCGAAATATTTGTCAATATCAGTTCATCTTTTGTAATTTCTGGCAGGAGATAACCATTAATATTCAGGCAGAATTCGGGAGAGTAAAATCACTACAGGCTGTGCCAATGTGTAAAATCTACGAAGTGCAAATCTATTAATGACAAAGAATGGAAATGATTACACTTAGGAAAGCCTTATAAATTATTTATAATCCATTGCCAATATTATGAACATATTATATATATAAATACAAGATTTTGCAAACTTTCACACTGTCAGGTAGGTATTATGTTTATGAAAACCAAGAAAAATATTCTATTTTATTCAACTATAGTTATTAAAATAATAACTACCAGGTGTTCTGAATTGCTTCTTGAATGTACATTAACATATGCGGATATTATTTTCAATCTAGAGCTAAAAGTAAATGTTTTACTCTTTACCTCGAACAACATATGGATTGTTTTTAATAGCCTTGAGATATCGATAGTTATACAAACACTTTTGTATTTTGAAATATACATTCAGTCTCAGCATTGAGATGAAATATTGAAAGGAGATGTTTAAGTGTTAAATGAATACTAGCCTATATATTTACACACTTCAATTCTTATTTAGCAATCTTTTTTTTTTTTTTTGTAAAGAGTAGATGGGAGCAATCGGTTTAAAATTTCTTTGAAGTTCAAACAAATCAGAAAATTATGCACAAAGAGTGATACAATGGATTTCTTACCTACATAAAAGATTTACTTCTACTCAATTAAGATAAATATTTGAATTACAATTAAAAATAAATATTTAACCGATTTATACATAAACACTTCCATTTTCCCAGGCTGAGAGCTCTATGACATGCCGAAACCCAATCTATTCCGGATTCCTCATCTCATTAAACAGTGGACTTAAGAAAGATTTTAGCCGTGATCTGGAGACACTGATATCTGATTGAGGGAATATTTTAAGGAAAAAAATTAGACATCCCGCCGTCTGTGCAAAGGTATTCGATTTCATTTCAGCAAGGATATCAAAGTGTAGAAAGTAAAGGGAGACATACTGTAAATATCACACCGGAGATACACATGTTATTTATGGATAAAAGTTAATCGGGGAGAAAAAAATCCAAATGATTCATAATTACTGGAGAGATGAAGAGTGTGGAATAAATTTCAGCGGAACCTATTCTATGTCTGAGATAGCAGATGAAGTTAACTTGTTGCTTTGTTTGATGTGGAGAATCTACAATCGCCTGTCATTTCATGGAATCTTACCTTTCACCATTGTTTACTTGGAGGCTGTGTAGGCTAATGTGTGTTTTGAGTGAGTATATATACACGTCTTTTGTTCCTATGTTAATTGATTATGTCTACTTTGTCATGTGTAGTGCTCTCCGCAACCAATCTTTGTCATGGTAATAAGGAATCGTTTGATACTGACGATGCAGGATAATAATTTCCAATGAAAAACAAACTATAAAAATGTAAAATATGTTAGTTATTAGAAACATACATCAAAACATAAAATTCAAAATGTATGAAATATTAGGACTTGAAAAATGATTTATACTGTTTAAAAACTTAATATAAAAAAGTTCTTTAACCCACAACACGTTATAGACTCCTCGATCGTGACTTCACTGTAAACATAGGGGAGAAAGTCTGAAGGAAGTAAATAAAAGATAAATGTGGCTGGCAAATTTTGTGTACAAGCAAATAACGGTATTAAGAGGGAAACACATGGTAAAATGTATTCTTTTATTTGATTTATTTGGTGTACTATATACAACTTTTCTTTGTTATCTAAAAAACGTTTGGACTAGTTACTGAATCTTAAAATAAATTATGTTGTCAGCTTTTCCCTTTATCTTTAATCATTTTCTATTCAATTTCAATTTCATAAAAAAAATAATATAATTGTTTCATAATTATCGCTGAATCTTATTCTTATGAAAAATCAAGGCTTTTAGACATCGCTGGTTGCCCTCTCTAGGCCTCCATGGAACAAATTTAAATCTTTACGATAAAAAGCCATTTTTGGCTTGGAATTTTATTTTAAAAAATGACTATAATTTATTCATTTTAGCACTGAATTGCTGCAATTAATTCATCTATTAAAGATGATAGTTTACAACAGTCTGAAAAAAAAAAACAACATCAAAGTGATATTTTGTCACAGTGTAAGAGAATATCAGAAATGCGCCTTCCCTTCGTATTAAAAAAAACTCCCTGGGCTGTTATGAACTTAAGATAGAGTAAATAAACCATCCTGAGAGAAACTCATACTACCAAAATTCTACAGATATGTTGTTAAAATCCATATCAATTATGACGTCACGGCCTATGACACTGAAAAAAAGGCAAAGGCAAAGGGAAAATCAAAGAAAATGCAATAAAAGGAAAATTCAAATTTTGAAGTTGAATATGGATTTTATTTCAGTCGTGAGACAGGATTATTCGGAATTTCTATTCGTGCTTTGCACTCGTGAAAACATGAAATAATTGTAATAAATCCCGTTTCAAAATACAAAATATTGAATATCCTCTATTATTTTCACTTGACTTAATTTGTCTAGCCATTAAAAATAAGAATGATCCTTATTTGGGCAAACTTGGATACCAATTACCCTAGAACACACTGAGTTATCTTGGTCCAATTATTCTTGAAAGGTCGAAATAAAGAAAAAAAACTTACGCTTAACAGACGAAAACAATTTGCAAAAGATCTTCTGAATTAGGAATTTTCAAGTATTTACATTAAAATATTTTTATAGCATCATCAAAATGTCAAGGAATAATAAGTATCGTCTTATGTTTTTGAGGTTTGCAATGTCTTGAAGAAAATTAATCATTATAAATTGATCACATTATTCACAATTAGAAAGACCACTTTGTTACATTCAGGTCATGATAACAATTTGCAATCAGCAATGACCTTTCGTGGCATCTTTGTGCCGAAGCGTTTATATAGTATCATCAAAATGTAAATGATTAATAAGTATTGTATAATGTCTCTATTATTTCCTCATGTCTAAATGAAAATTCTACCATTACACTTTGATCACATTATTAATGATTAGGAAGTCAATCTAAAAATTCTTTCCCCGCTGTTAACATTCAGGTCATGATCATAAATCATAAATAGATATCAGGCTGTAATGGGGATCTTTGTTTTTGGTTCCTGTATTCTCTTGTTTGAATAATAAAACGAAAACATAAAATATTTCAGGTACCGTAGACATACATATTTCCAGGTGGTCATGTTTCCTTTTCTATGCATTTTCTATTTAAACCACGCGTAAGAAATCCGTGGAACTGTGTACATCTAGAATTGTAAAATAAGCAGTACCGTTACCCTGCCTTTTGTTAAATTTTTACGACAGCCAAACTTATCCTTAAATACTTTCATCTACGAGTAATACCACTAGGTATATAAAAAGAGTAAGTATGATGTATTTCAGAGCAGAACAAGCAACTCCATAACACATTCAGAAGCCTTGAAAACATTATTTTACCTCTGTCTTTACTTACTGTCTTAATTCAAATTTCTCCTTGTAAATCCTTCACTTTTTAAGGCCAGCATTTTGAAAAAATATATTCAAATCATTTAAGCAGATACGATGTACAATATTTCTGTGAAGATAAGGTGCATTATTCAAGAGTCTTCATTGACTTTTTCAGGTCTACTTTGTAGAAACATTTGTTGTCTGGAGTGTTGGAAATGTATAGGTGGGGAATGTGGTGGTGAAGAATTCGAAGAATATTCACAGAAAGTTAACTGCGCCAAGGAAGATTCTTGTATGGTATAAATTTACCTATTCCATTAGTGAATTACTGGTTGATTTTAAATAGATAAAACTGACTACTTAAGAAAACATATATGTCAATTTGATCATTTCATTAAATTGAATGAACATTTTAATGAACAATTTAATTATATTAAAGCTTAATAAAACATGGACATTAGAGAAAAAGAAAGGAAAAAAATGCTGTTCATTTATTGCATTTTGATATTCTTTAACAGAAAGTTGTATATGAGATGAAAGACTACTCCTCAGATGTGAAGTACGAATCTGTTGTGAGAACGTGTTTGAAAAGTCCCTGTGTTCCAGTCACCAAAGAGACATTTAATGCATGTCGAAGAAAAATTCGATCTTACAAATATTATGGATGTTCGATACGATCATGTTGTAAATCGGATTTATGTAACACTGCCACCGGAATGCTTTGTTGGAATCCTTACATTTGCTTCTATTTGTTAACAATGTTGCTTTGTAGAATGTGACCTATTGTGTAAGTGTTTTTTATAATAATGAATGAAATGATAAGAAATTTACTAATACTTTCGTCATTAATTCGGTTCAGTTCTTTCTAACACTCGGACTACACAATTTTCAACTAAATAAATGGCGTCCATGGATACTGTAACTTTGGTTTATCAAAACGTAAGGTACAAATAACCAGAAAATTTCAGAAGTATTGCCTTGCTGACTGCTGAACATCATATTGACAACAAAGAAAGACTTTGGCTGAAACGTGGATTAACTAATAAAACCCATTCTGAGTTCAAGTTTATAAGTAGAAAGAACTGAAATGATTCAATATGCAGACAAAATAACTAACCTGTGTACTGGTATCTCTTTATAAATACAAGAATTTTTTGGGTCCAGTTTGATCCAAGACGACGGGTGAAAGCCTTTTAGAAGTCGTCCACGCAATGTTAAGTTCAAACTTTTTGGTCTCTCGATAAGTCAGCGGTTAGCAAAGGGACAAGTGAATGTACTGTAATGTTTTTGTTCTTATATGTAAATATTTTATTGTTAAAAAATTGTTGTATGAAAGGCCCGAACCATGGAGCCTGTTTAGTGCCTTAATTATGGAGCCTAACGAAAGCCCTAAACGTATTAGGTGTCTTGACACCTAACGAGGGAGTAGCAGGCCTAATACTTATAGCCTAATGCCCTAACAGGTGCCCTGACTATGCAGCCTAATGCCATAATAGGGAGGTCTAACGGCGTTATGTGTAAGACAGGGTATGGAAGGAGAAATAATGAAAAATGTAAACTGTTACTGGAAAGTGTTAATATACTTATTGAAACAAACTCTGCTGTTGCTTTTGTATAATATCTATAAAGATTTAGAGTTCCTAATTCAAAACACAAGATCAACAATAGTTTGAGACGCAGGGACGTTGTTTTCCTGTTACTGTTCTGAAAGAAAACAAGGAAACTTCAAATTTTGTCCAATATATATCTTACGAACAGCCCTCAAATATTAAACTTACTTGCTTATATGCATGTAAAAACCGTTTAATTATAATATTTTTCAGTAAAAATGTGTGGTGAGAAAATTATAAATTAAAAACAATAATTTTATGCTGTTTGAGATTTGATTGCAAATGCTTTGAAATACCCACATTAGTCTGATATATGTTAAATCACACCTTTGAAGCTAAGTAGTGAATGTGTAAAGATTAAATCAATTTAGAATTCGAAAATTATTTCCTAGCAAGGATAATGCACAAAGGAAAATGTCATGATCCGATAGAATTATAAACTAATCAAGAGATAAAATTTTCAAGAAAAATATGTATACATATATAACTACAGAAAACACCTAACCTGTTAAATAAATCCTGATAATTTTAAGGTTCATTGACCCTCTGATAGGAGAGATAACTCTCACTGTGTTAAATGACTCTTATTTCTCTATGAAATTTGTCAGGTTAAACGGTCATTTCTGTCAAAATTTTCCCACAAAGTATAGACGCTGAAATGGTGTGCATTTTAATCATGAGTTGTCGTTTGGAAAATTAATTATTACTGTCAAAACATGAATGAACAGAGCGACGATGCATGAACCTTAAAGTAAGAGGATTGACAGATCAATAGCTTCATCTTTATTCCAACCGAAGAAATTTAAGGATGAAAATTAAAACTAGTAGGCATGTTTTTATTCATGGTTTTAATTGGTTGCTGATAATTCACAGATTGACCAATGTGCCTTGTTCCAACCAGACAAAAATATGTTGACCTCGCCACATTGTACTACAGTAGGACAATCACAGTAGTATGTACAGGTAAAGAGGTTTTCAGGGAACTCGTATTCAAGGACCATGACGCATAAAGGGGTGGGTGTACCTCTGTATGATACCTGAGGAAAGAAAATATTTAATTTTAAATTTATGTATTTCCTTTTCATACTTAAGTATCTTATTTTATCTAAATTTAAATCCCTTATAATTGATTACATTTTAGGTGTAAAATGAAACGTGAACGATAAGATAAATTGATATATAGGTTGATGAAAAAGTGGTTAAATAATGGAAATTTAAGATAACAAATTCATGTATAGAATGATTACATACATGTGACTGTCACACTGTATATTAATAAAACTAATATGTTGACGGTGCGACCGTTGGGGCGAGCGCATTGTTCACTTCATTCATTAAGATCCGCCTCTTCAAACCGCACGAGACATTTGGAACGTCTAAGACTGTGACGTCACATGACGTGGGATGTTAGCTGCATTTCGATAAACAAAGTTTAATAAGTGCACAAAGAACGTTTAATCTACTATCTGTATGCAATTTCCATTAAATTAAGGTGAGTTTATTTTGTGTGAATTTTTAGTTGTTGTTACCGCGCGAACGAAGTTAGCAGCGAGAACAAGAAGCGATGCATTGTTGGTCCAGAATTACTGCGGAAAAAAGGTCTATTGAGTGAATGTGCAGTAATCCGAATTTTCTCTTCGCCCAGGCGTTGTCGTTAGAGCTCGCAGTGACGAGCGGCGCTTCGCGCCGCTCGCTGCGCTCGCTATTAATAGGTGTTTCCTTTATAATTACTTTATATACCCAAACAGCAAATAGAGTGTGTGAATAGTAAACTTTGAGAATTAAATGCAAAATCGGAAAGACCTAAGAAATCACCTATTTGCTTTTTATCTTACCTGATACCGTTTTACAAATCATTGGACATTTAAATTGTTTAAGTCATAACAATGTTTGTGTGAACAATAAGATGTTTAGTCTTTTTAAGCTCATTTAAGTTGTTTTTTTTTTTAAATAATCATTTGAATCCATCTCATACTTTCAAATGGTGGTGTCTGTTTTGACGTTTAAGTCTACCTCACATGAGAACGACATCATAATACATTGCATTTACAGTAATTAGATTACCTGCTTCTATCAGAAGTTTACCTATGCATTTATACCCCTTTCCGTGTAAAGGTTAGATAAACTCAAAGACTGGGAAAAAGATTTGAAAGTTTTTTTGATGAGATGAGATTTCTGAAAAAGTGTGTATCTATAAATAGACAAAAAGATTGCGTTGTTTGGCAAAAAGTTCTAACAATTAACACACTGGGCGGTTGTGACGAATATGGGACCTTCAATGATTTCTTTTTTTACATCAGCGTTTAATTACTTTGAAAAGCATTTTTCAATATAGTAAAACGTTACCTGTATCATACTCCCATATGAATTTTCGTTGCAATTAATTCCAAACCCGGAAACAGAGATGTTGAAAGGCCTTGGTTTGATTCCGAATAAAACATTTGTACGCATGTGAACAAACAGGAATGGTATGAAATCCCCACGAGATGGCAGTGGAAAACAAGAACAAAGATTACCGTCCTAAGCTTTTGCTATCTGAGAAGTCCTTTCCCCAGTCATGTCATTCATAACTTCTATGCCAATCCAGTCTGACGATACACAGTTTCAAAAATGTATCGACGTCTTTTTACATTTCAACATTAATTTTATACATAAAATATCAAATTTGATCTGATGGTTTAAAAATTTTTGTGTAACTAAGAAAAATAATTTTTTACCTTTACATGATGACATTTTTGTTACTTCGGGTAAAATTGTTGAAGTAGTGTCTGAAAATAGTAAAACAGAAAATTTATTTACACAAAAGACCAGAAAGTTTTACTTACAAATATGCTGCACTATTTTGATATATAATATCCGAGAATATATGGCATTTGTTACAGTCCCTCCACACTCTAAATATATATTTTAATGATGAAGTTTTGTAAAATTATTTAAAAAGATATTTTACATACGATACCAAAATACACAGCAAAATCCTTCAAACGGCTTGTTAAATTAAATGCTGTATATGCAGAGGATATATCTGAGGGAAAAGTAGCTATCAAAGCCTTCAGAAAATTTGGAAATGAAGAAAATCCATTTATCCATTTTTTTTTAAAATCTGAAGCATAAAGTAATTTTTTTTTCACGTTTGAAGGAACGTTTCGATTAATAAACATTAAACCGTAACGGATACCAATTTTGTCGAATTAAGGTGAATTTTTTTTAAGCATATTGATTTTGTCTTTGAGTTCTGACCTGCTTCACAAAAATAAAAACTGGAAAGGTATTTAAGCTTTTATTATTTAAAAATAGAATAAGCAAAAAGAACTACTAAGTGCATGTATCAATAAGTATTTCATTTAATAAATGTTAGTCGGTTTCAGCAGGCAGATAGAATACCCAGTTCAGATAATTTGTTGTTTTAAGGAAACTCTAAACACTGCACACGAAAGAGTTCTATTTGTAGGTTAGTTTTATTGAGTTAGAGTGATCTGCCCTTAGAAGAAAAATAGTATAAATGGGAAACTACAGTTAATGACACAATTTCTTATGAATTAAAGTATTCTTAATGTTATGTTAGGCCAAGATTAAGTAATTGAATTCATTCTTTCCATTAATTTTCCCGATGCAAGTAAACAACAGTGAGTTCTGTTCACAAATAGTTCATTGTCTTTGAACATTTTTTTTTCTGCAGAAATAAGGCAGGCACCCTATGTTGAAAATGAACTAGATACACTGAATATGTGTACCTTTATATGATATATTTTTCTCAAAGCCCAAAAAGCATTTTTCATTTAAGAAATAAATAACAAGTTTAAAAACCTCTCTGGGAAATGAAGTGGGTCGGTCACGTGATCAAATCCTGTGAAGGCCGAAGGCCTTCTCAGAAGATTTGATCACGTACCGACCCACTTCATTTCCCAGTGAAGTTTTACGATTGAAAATCTACGATTTCAGTAAGTCATATATATTATGACGTTGACACGGAGACACTGGCGACAGCTTAAATTGTTACATGTAAGTCAACGATCTCGATGATGGAGATGTGCCTACCGAACTCCCGAAGTGTTTGTCAGTTGTTTGTGGCGTGATTGCATTACATAGATATTTTCCGACAGATTTTCAAATTATTGTGAGTACAGTTTGATGAAAAAAACTCATTCAGAGGTCTACAAGAAAAATAACGTTAAACGTTCAGACTATGGAGCTCAGACATGAAACTTATAACA